GAATAAGGATGCCCGAACAACTTCGAGAAGGTGTCGGTTTTTACGTTCGGCAAGGCCATTTTGTTGGGGTGTGTAAGGACAGGAAGACTGGTGTTTAATGCCATGGGAAGTAAGATATTCAGTGAAGTTAGAGTTCATATATTCAGTTCCATTGTCAGATTGTAGGGTTCTAACAGAGGATTGGAATTGAGTCTTAATCATATTGCAGAAGGCTGTGAAAGCAGGAAAGGCACCACTTTTGTTTTGTAACAAGGTAATCCATGTCATTCAGGTGCATTCGTCAATAAAACTAATATAATACAAATTTTTTGAAAGAGTTGGAATTTTTGCGGGACCCCAAATATCAGAATGTACAATTTCAAATGGAATAGCACTTTTATTCAAACTTGGAAGATAAGTAATTTTGTGGCTTTTGGCCAATTCACAGGTGCTACATTTAAAGTGAGATACAGGGACAGAAGAAAATAAATTTGGAAACAATTTATTAAGATAACTAAATGACACATGACCTAATCTACGGTGCCATAACCAAATTTGGGAGGTAGTCTTCGATTCTTGAAGGGAAGTGCAGATCCGAGAGTCCGGAGTAGGAGAATTGCAGCGGAGGTCCAAATAATAGAGATCACCAACCTTAATTCCAAAGCCAAGCGTCCTCTGTTGGGGGATGTCCTGAAACAGGCAATAAGAGGGAAAGAACATAACAGAGCATGCCATATCAGAGGTGAGACGAGAAACAGAAAGGAGATTAGACGTCAGGGAAGGGACACATAATACAGAGGATAGGGTTATTTCAGGGGTCAACGAAATAGATCCCTGTCCGGTAATGGGAGATGTTCCTCCATTAGCTGTACAGATAAACGGCTTAAAGGAGGACTGGAAATTACAGAGTAAAGAAGCTTCCCTAACCATATGGTCAGAAGCACCAGTATCAATTATCCAAATAGCATTCATACAATGTGTAGAGAAGGCAAGAGGCTTACCTAGGATGCTGCTCTGGACGACGTTGGCCGTGGGAAGTGATGGTACTGCATCGGCAACAGTGACAGTGGCTTTGGGAAGAACCTTCTTCCGTGGACGTTTGGTGAAATCCCACCAATCCGGGTATCCAATCAATTCGTAGCAACGCTGCTTCGAATGGCCTAATTCGCCACAGTGGGAGCAAGTGAAGGAGGGAGGTTTGGGGTTTTCATGGTCACGATGAGGCTTGGGGTTCAGAGAGGGATTAAAACGGGGTTGATGAGTGAGGAGGGCAGAGGTATCAGGTGAGGGTTTGGGGGTGTTCATGGTTTGTCGTTGCTGGGAATCTTTTCTCACATACGCATAGGAGCTTCCGAGGTCGAGCTTGGGATCTTTACGGAGTATTTCACTACGTACCTGATCAAAGTCAGAGACAAGGCCAGCAAGAAAAATATGGACGTGGATGCGAGAGAGGGCTAAGTGTTGGTGAACTAGATGAGCAACAGTTTCAGAGGCAGAGGTGCGGTGGTCGATTTCTTGGAAGATGGCCAGCAATTCGGAGTAGTATATGGCAAGGGGTCGTCCGTGTTGCCTTGTGGTGAAGGATTTCTGGTTCAAATCAAAGAGGCATGACTCATCTGAGCCATCATAAAAGGTTTTGGAGGCAGCCTCCCAGATTTCAGAAGCGGTCTCCAACCGGAGGAAGCGTTGCATAAGGCTGGGATTCATGGAGTCTATAAGCCAACTTTTGACTCGTTTATTGTCGGTGATCCAAGATGCGAGGGATGGGTCATCAGGGTTCGGTTTGGGAGTATCACCGGTGAGGAAACCGGTTTTGTTGCGAGCACCAATCCTCATATCCATGGGTTGGGACCAAAGGGGATAATTGGTTTCGTCAAGGATGACGGTCAGGGGAAGAGGAGAGTGGTCTTGGTGGATAACAATGTTTTGCGGTGGTGGAAGGGTGGTGTGCGGCGGAGGTTCGGTTTCAGATAGTGGGAATGGGTTTTCCATGACGGCGCAGAGGGGGGGGTGATGTGTTTAAGAGGGATTTAGGGTTCGTAAAGGGATTTGGGAAGGGGAAAATAAAAGGAAATATGTGGGTGGAGCGGTGGCGGGTCAGGTTTTCGGATTTAATTAGTATGAGAGGGATAAATATGTGGGTGGGTTGGGTAATAGAAAAAATGAGATTTTGAAAAAAAAATTGGAGAGGAGTGTTTTGCCCAGGATCAGTGTAGGCTCTTTGATACCATGTCAAAATTAAGAATACGATGGATACTGGTGAATTCTCATTCATTTCATTAATCATCCTCAGCCTTGAGGGAATTATATATAGTGGAATAAAATAACTACTCCTAATTTTAAGAAACAAAAAATATAAACAACTAACAGAAGATACAAACAGCACTAACAACCTAACAGTAATCTTACTAACCAAATCCTATGTTCCTTATCTCTATTAGATAGCAACATATTATAACAAACATTTAAAATACAATTAACAAATCTATTCTTCAACACTTGTTTTGACCCACCTTTAAACGGGGCGGGCTATAATGGGTTCGCGGTTGAAAATTTTAACTTAACTCGTCATTTGTGACGGGTTAAACAGGCTAATCCAATGTGTTGGATCCATTTTGTCATTTCTGTATTAAATTGTATTAAATAAAGGTTATCCAATCCTATATTTAATAACATGTTCTGCGCACTAAGAGCACACACACAAGTCAAGACAACAATAACATGATAAGATCAATCTCAAATATCAGAGTATATATATCTCAATACTGTACCAAAATAAAATAAAATAAAGACTAAAAAGAGGTGGTGGTGTAAGGTAGATGCAATGCAAGTAAATTCCTTGGCGCCAGTTTGGTGCTAGTAGCACAGCGAAACAATGAGCATCGAAACAATAAGCATGGGGAAGGCTGATGTAGGACTGGTGCTAGTAGCGCCACGAAACATAATCGAATGGGAGGTTGGAACGGGTAGCGCCATGGTGGCGCTACAGGAGCCGAAAGACAGAACCTTTAGGTAAGCTGGCGCTGTAGACGTAAGACTGGTGCTAGTAGAATTGTTTGCCTGTGAGCGATGGGAGTCTTGGCGCCAGAGGCGCCATGATGGCGCTAATAACATTGCGGTCAACTTGAAAAATTCCTTTACCCAATGCTTAAACACCATGTATTACTGCATACAAACACACCATTTCTTAGCAAAATTAAAAAAAAAAGCCTAAGACAAAGAAAATGATAAGAAATAACAAAAACTTATTAGGTTGCTCCCCAATCAGCGCTTGTTTTATATCCCAAGACTAGTGTGACAACTTATGATTATGGCGGCAGGTAACTCGAGCTCAGTGATGACATCATACCCTTGCTCAAAATTTGTATCATGCGAGGATTGTACTCATACGCAAGTGGATGAGGAGGGTTGGCCTTACGAGCTCTAAACTTTATGTAATCTAAACTTTATTTACAATAGATCTCACTTGTAAAATATTTTGAATATAACCTAATCTATGTACTTTATATAATCTAAATTATAGGTTTGGCCAAATTTATATTTAAAAATAAAAAATTTAAACTAGACTTATTAACATATTAAACCTTCAAAATTTATCTAGAAACAAAAAAAAATTATTTTATTATTTTAAACTATTTTATTTTATTTAAAATAATTAATATGATATAGACAAGGCTTATAAAAATTGGTCTCTTATTTTTTATATAAACTAATTTTAAGGCCTAAATATATTAAGCCTAATGTTGGTTGAGCAGCGAATTTCTGATAGAGCTGACTTATTTAAATCTCTATTTGTCGGAAAAAATTTCAGTGATCCATTTAAAAAATTTGAGACATAAATAGAAATATAAATGAAAAAAATGAGTAAATTGAAACAAAAAATTTTAAATTCTCACAAATGGACCACTCAAACTTTTCTCCGTGTAAAGTGGGCGGCTTGCCCTACCATCAACTCGCTAAAAAATAAGTCAGTCTGTCCCGTTCTGCTTTTGAAAGTGGACTAAAAAATTCGGTTCGCTCCGCCCTGTTTGGAAGGCTGTGCGGGTTGATCTTCCAGCCTGAATCTATTTTACATTTGACCGGCTTCTGTCTATTATCAACCAGCCAAAAAATAAATCCATCCCACTTTTGAGATTGGTTGAAAAACTCAACTTACCCTATCTTATTTAGCTCGTAGGGTAGGTTGACCGTTGAACCAATCTCATTTTGTTGGCTCTACTCCTATTTATCACTTCTCTCAATTATCTTAAGATTATTCATGTGCACTAAAACCCGGCGAAACCCTGCCGAATGTGTTTTTGTCTTTCACACGCTTTTAACAAACCATATTTTTCAATACAAGTATACTCACAAATTTATTTGATAAGGAATCAGTCCCACCCACCTTTATTATATAAAAAATCGATTAAGTGTATATTTAGATTTTATTTTGTATTTTAAATAAAATTATTAAAAAAAAATTGTGAGAGTTTTTGAAAAAAAACTATTAATTACTTGAAAAATAATCAAATCCGAAGATAATATTATCCTACCAAAATATAAACACATTACATATTAATATAGTTTAAGATAATAAACTGTCAAACAGTGAAAGTTGATTCAAACAATAAAACTAACGGAAAAATATAAAATTACACAACTTATATCTTTCATTTTCACAAAGAGACGGAATCCACAAATTTTTTTTTTTTTTTTGCCAACTGTCTCTTTCTTTTTTTATGTCTTTTTCTCTTTTAAAATTAAGCAACTTTACATAAAAATGAGAGACACTTTTCTCAAAAGCTAAACAGCATAGATTGAAAATTCTCGAGTTCGCTTCTGTCGATGATTTAACCTTGGACATGCTTACACCTTAATTATATGCGAGAAAATCCCATTGCTCTAAACTTTATTATAGATTTACTATTGTGTCCTTCTAAATATAAGCAATTTGATCGATTAAGCACTCAATTTGGTCCAATATTGTGATTATAAAAGAAATCACCAATCATTTGGTTTTTGTGTACTGCATGAAAACTCAGATGGCTCGTTACTACTTCCTCTTGCTTTTTCTTCTTGTTGCAGCTACAGTTTCTAAAGCAGATGCCGAAAAGAAGCTATCTACAGACTTTTACTGCAGCAGCTGCCCCAACCTGTTGCCTACAGTGAAGAAAGGGATCATTAAAGCCATTAACAATGAAGCTCGCATTGGAGCTTCCATACTCCGATTGCATTTTCATGACTGCTTTGTAAATGTGAGTATATATGTATATATATACATTTAAGTTGACTTCATGATTCAACCTTTTGTGTCTCCCTTGCAACTTGGGCTATATATATATATATATACTTCAAATCATGTTATTAACACAATGATATATCAGGGATGTGATGCATCAATACTGTTGGAAGATACGAAAAACTTCATAGGAGAGCAAACAGCAGCAGCTAACAATAAATCAGCAAGAGGGTTCAATGTGATTAATGATATTAAAGCCAATGTGGAGAAAGAATGTCCTCGGGTTGTGTCCTGTGCTGATATTCTTGCTCTGGCAGCTCGAGACTCTGTTGTTTATGTAATATTCTATATATATATATCCCGAGAGTAAAGAATTATCAATTAATTATGGACCTTAAATGCTTGAATGAATAACACTTACTATCTGTTTTTATGGAAACACATTTGCAGTTAGGGGGGCCTTCGTGGGAAGTAGGGTTGGGAAGAAGAGATTCTACCACCGCAAGCAGAAGTGCTGCCAATAATTCCATTCCCCCACCCTTCTTCAGTCTAAGTGCCCTCAAACAAAATTTTGCTAACCAAGGCCTCTCAGTTACAGACTTGGTGGCTCTTTCAGGTACTATAATCATAGATGGAAATATATGTCTTTAATCTGACTTGGTGGCTCTTTCATTTGGTTTTGATGGCTCTTTCAGGTACTATAATAATAGACTTGGTATTGTCATTTAATTTAGCATGTTTGGTTTAGTTTTAAGAAAGCCAGTTGTCATGGTTCTGAAAAAAGCTTGTTTCTTGTAGTTTCTTGTCCAATTTATTATGATTTTAAAGTTTCAATTTATTGGAGTAACTTTCAATAACAGGGGCACATACCATTGGCCTGGCTAAATGCACAAACTTCCGAGCACACATCTACAATGACTCAAACGTTGATCCCTCCTACCGAAAGTTCCTTCAGAGCAAGTGTCCCAGAATTGGAAATGACAATGTACTCGAACCCCTTGACCACCAAACTCCGACACATTTCGATAACCTATACTTCAAGAATTTGTTGAGTAAAAAGGCTCTACTTCATTCAGACCAGGAGCTGTTCAAAGGTGGTTCTACAGACAATCTGGTGAAAAAATACGCTAGCGATGCAGCTGCATTCTTTGAAGACTTTGCCAAGGGTATGGTCAAGATGAGCAGCATCAAGCCTCTCACTGGAAGCATGGGGCAGATCAGAATGTATTGCGGCAAAGTCAATTAAACAATAGCAATTTATGTATATGCTTGATATGGATTCAACTTCCCATCTTTTTTACAAAATTGTGTAAAGTACTACCTGAATTTATGTGCATATGGCACCGCTAAGCATCTTATCATCCCTGCTATAATGTATGCAATCAGCAGAATCACCAAACATATTGCATCTACATTATCTAGCTATGTATCCACAAAATTTATTTCTCTTTGCATTGGCCCAGTTAAGGTTTGTAAAGAATCATCAGTGTGTAACAAAGCAATTCATTTAAAATAAAGAATTCATGAATTGCAAGAATACTACTCTACTCGCCAACTAGAGATTTACAAGTGAACTAAGAAAGAATTTCTACGGCAAATTAATAATGTGTTAAGTGCTAAATAATTTTAACTTAACAAACATTACTGTTGGCACAAGTGGTAAGGAGTTTATGTCCCTTGATCAGAGATCTCGAGTTCGAGCCCTGGAAATGGAAAAAATGACCTTGGAAGTGCCGCCCCTTATATAGGATCTAACAGTGCTCGAACCGAACTAATTCAAAAGATAAACAGATTGAAGAGACTAAAAAAAATCAACTTTATTGTTAACATTGGACTATTACAAGGAATATTAGAAACTTGCATTTATATATTTGGTCAGATAGGTGGCACTCAGCCAGTCAAGTTCATTGTGAAAACTAATATATCAAATACTATAGAACCTGCCAAACCAAAGAAAATGAGATATATATGTTATGTGCAAGGGGGAAACAGAAGCGTATGGTGCTAAAAGTACAAAAAATTGACAGACTCTACTCTCTCAAAGATTTTTACCAGGCCAGTGAGTAATGACTAAGGAATTCTTGATATTTAGCAATCAAAATAGCCGTCTGATAAACTAGTAATTATGGGTTTTGGAGAGGGTCAAATGTAAGCGGCATTATCCCAATGGTTAGGTTGTGTCCGCTGTTTGAACCCGTGACCAGCAATAAAGATTTCAGCCCATCATGCTGTTCCGGCAATATCACATTGTGAGTGTCCAAAATCGTCAAGCAATAACTTACAACATTGGACAATAAAATATTACATAATAATGACACGTGAAAGGATAATATTACGGCATTTATTTGCTATCAATTTGTTTTAAAAGCACTGGACAACATATCGACGGTAATATTTTTGCCTGTATTGAATCGCAATTTCAATCATGAATGGTCGTAATAAAGAATAGTTTAAAATGTATTAAGCATATAATGTGTTGAATATATTAATTAAAATTAAAAAATTCATACTGCTACTTAGGTAATTAAACTAGGATTTGAGAATTGAGTAGACCTTTTAAACCTATTTTATTTTATTAAATCTTGTACATTTAAAATCACATGCAATTAGGCAAAAATACAAAGAAAAAAGCAATTATCAGTACCCAAAAAATAAACCAATCAAATGATGGTCAATTTAAAACCCTAAACTGCCCCCACATATAGCTAGTCGAATAGTAAATAGAAACTTTTTCATAATCTACTACAGTGACTCCAACATTGGTGCATCCTACCGAAAGTTTAGGTAGAGCAAGTGCCCCAGAAGTGGAAGTGACAATGGACTCGAACCCCTTGACCACCAAGTATCTTATCTATATATGCATATACATAGAACAGTGATCTAAACGTCACGTTCTTTTAAAAAAAAATTGTCAAAATATTATGCGAATAATATTTTTTACCAAACTACCACACGTCAAAGTTTGTTATCAGTCATAACGAACTTGATTAGGTCGCGTAGCACGTTCTCATATATCAAATTCGCTACCAATGTGGCAGTGAACTTGGTCCAGTCAGCTTTTCTTTACAAAATGTGCATATGTCACGAAATCATAAGTGACTAAGTTCACTATCATTGATAGTAAACTTGGTACGCTAATGGGAATGTGATACGTGGTCTAATCAAATTCGCTATGATTAGTACCGAACTTGGACGTGTGACAATCTAATAAAAAGTACTATTCGCGTCACCTAGAAAAACTTTTGGAAAAGAGTGGCATCCCATATATATGTATGGCTCTTCTAAGCATCTTATCATCCCCGCCGCTATTGAATGCAATCAACAGAACTACCAAACATATCGCATCCACATGAACTACAGCTAACGTAAATTAAGAATATCAGCTTCTATGTCGATTTCGAAATCTGTTTTTAAAGTCTGTTTGTTATCTAGCTATGTATCCAGAAAATTTATTTCTCTTGCATTGGCCCAATAAGGTTTAATTTCTGAAGAATCATCAGTGAGTAACAAAGCAAGGCATTATACAAAAAAAATAACGAATCCATGAATTGTAAGAATACTACTCTACCCGCCAACTAGAGATTTACAAGTGAAACAAGAAAGAACTTCTACGGACAAATAATGTGGAAGTGCTTAACAATTTTAACTTTATTATTACCATTAGACTATTACAAAGAAGATCAAAAACTAACATTAATAAGATCACAGAGATGGCACTGAGGCAGATTTCATAGTGAAAACTAACATATCAAACACTGTACAACCTGCCAAAATAAAGAAGTTTCAAGCTGCTATTTAAACATGTATTACATCTCCTCCACTTAATCCAGCTCATCAATAGATTTAACCTCCTCCTCTAGCAGTTCAAATTCATCAATCTCTTTAAAGTAGGCTTTCTGTTCTTTGATAAAATCTTGCAGCGGGGGATCCGTGAAAACAGCACGCTGCTTCTGAAAATTCAGCAAATATGCATCCAATAATTCAGCAAAATATCTATTGTGACATGATTGAACTTATAATTGAGAAAGAAGAAGCATGCAAAATATATGGCCACTACGGAAATACATAAGAGCACGATTCGCAAGCAAGATTTTACACGGGAAAAAAAAAAAAAGTGATATGTTATGTGCAGGGAGAAACAGAAGCATATGAAGCTAATACTACAAGAAAATGACACACTCTACTTCCACCCAACAACTATTTCAAAGATTTTACTAGGTCAATGAGTAATGACAAAGGAATTCTAAATATTTGGCAATCACATTAAACTATTGCAAATGCTATAAAATGTGTAGCCCAGCGCACTAGGCTCCCACTATTGTGAGGTCAGAGAGACAAATGTTTGTGGTGTTACCCCAATGGATGCATAGGTTGTGTATGCAGATAGAACCTGTGACCAGGTCACCAACTATATTGCACCGACACTGACACGAGATACGAGACATGACACTCCGACACGTTAATTTTAAAAAATGTTATATTTTGACATGTTAGGACACGTTTTGATATTAAATAATATTTTTAAGGGATTTATTAGTCTCTTTCCATAGGAGATAACTTCTCTCATGCTCTCTCCCTTCGATTTTCGCAACCCCCCCCCCCCCTTTTTCTTGTAATGGTGGGACCCATTTATCTTCTCTTTACCACATAAGATAGTTATCTCCTATGAAAGAAGAGTAGTATTTCCCTATTTTTAATATACATAATATAGTTTACATTTAATACATATAGCAACCCATAATAAGTCATAAAAGAATCAAATATTCAAATTCTATAATATAAATATAAAGCAAAAATAATTTTTCATGTCAAATTCTATAACAAAAAATATTTGATTTATAAATTAATTTTCATGATTAGTTAAAAAAATAAAATAAAATTTGGATCTGTATGAACGTTGACTCTGTGTCAGAACATGTCAGTGTCTGACACGTATCCGTCTGAACGTGTCGGTTGTTTGACACGTATCCGACACACATTTTTCACAAAAATTAACGTGTCGGTGCTGCTTAGGTCACCAGGTGTCATGATACCCGATTACCAGTGGATGAGAAGAAATAAATTTTCAATATTCATGCAGTAAAGAGCACTGAGTGCTACACTCAATTTTTTTTGGATACATTGGTGAGAATTGAACACATAACCTAATACAAACTACCCAAACCCCTCACCACTAGATCAATCCTAGTGGCTTAGTGCTACACTCACTAAATTTAAAAATCATGACTCAACTAATTGCATTTATTCGACCGACATCATTATTTCTAAAGCCACGAGTCCAATTATTTTCTAATTTTAGTAGGGGCAATATGTAGTACAATAGTACTGAAAATTTACTCGTTGAGAAGGAATTGGAAGCTGAAGTAAACAAGTCACAATATAGTCATGTCAGCAAAAGGGAGGCAAGGAAGGTTGATTTGCATATTCAGGAATTGAGAAGGGGGTCACCCACAATGACTTCTAATTCACAACTGAAGGATTATGCGCATGGCAATTAAGGAGAAATATAAGAGAATAGAGGAAAGAGAAAAGGAAATGAATGATGTTAATTGTGATCTTCCCCTTGCCTCTGTAACTTCTCCCTTCTCCTCTTGTTCTTAAGATACAAGTAACACCTCTCTGTACTTCGATTTGCTGTTACACTGACAGCATCTCATTTCTATTACCTAAATACTGGCACAGGTATCACTATTTGGAAATGCTATTGCCCTTTTTTTGACTGAGTTACTTAGTTAATTCATTTCTAAATTGTTTGAGCTGTTACACAAGGCAGCAATCTTACCATTGCATCAAATGTCAAGGGAGGTTTGCATAGACCTTTATATTTCAAATATAATTAAATTAGATATACCTTACTTGTCCTAAAATTGTCTGTGTAATATCGTTAAACGTCAAGGGAGGTTTACATAAATTTGTTTCATGTAAGCATGACAACCTTAAAGTCAATCATGCCGTAGAAATTGGTATACCCGATAGACAAGTACGGATACTCGACTTAAACAGTAAATATACAATCCAGGGAAAATGCTTATAGCAATATTTTCAACACGGGCAATTTCATAAAAGATCAAGTTCTTGTTGAATAACCAAACCAACATCCATAGACTCAGAGGAGTTTGAAGTTCCTAATAAAACCACAGAAACTCGAGAACATGCAGTAAATTTATATACCTTTATACAAGGAACTGTCAATGCCTTGGACTTGCGTAGATTCGCACCTTCAACCCCATCACTTTTTTCCCTGTTTTTCATGACAAAGGAACTTAGATGACAAATAACTATATGGTAGACCTTCTAGGAAAAAGACAATAAAAAGAGACAATCAAACTAAGTTTAATGGCAACAAAGGACAAAGGAATGGTGAAAACATGAATTTCAAGTGTACTAAGTATAGTAATGGCAAAGTAGGACAAAGGTGAAACAAAGAGGGATAAATTCCGAATCAGTTATCTCTTCAGGAAAGATTCAAATGACTTTTCATGTCTTCAATCATAATATTTTAGAGAACTTCTTTAAAGAATGGAAATATTTTAATATCCGATCCATCATAAGTTTAGCATTTTTTTTATTTCCCCAACTTCGTGAATTTCAAACAGCCCTCTCCCATTTTTCCTTTACCATTGTTTCTTAAACTTAAAGAGTTAGTACAACTTCCAGAGCAATAATATCTTACACTAAGTAAAACAGAGGGGTAATTACCGAGTATCAGATATCTTCATGATGGGTGTGCTACAGACAGGAATGGCCACTGCCTTCCCTTTATACTTCCTTTTATTTGAAGAACATCTTCGGCTATAGAGAATTGAAATAGGCTTAGAAGCTTCAGGATCAACATTCCCTGAAGTAAAAAAAGGTGAAAATAACACACTGATTGACATAGTATGGAAAATAAGAAATAAATACTAACAACCACAGACAGAAATTATAACATTGTTAAGGTTGAATGAATCTAAATCCATTGATCTAGGAACTATGCCACAGGTAACGGAACAAAGCTAAACCCATTTGGATTTCAGACAATAAATAGGGATTCCAACTAATTTCAAAGCCAGTTTACGAAAAAGGCATAATAGAAACATTCGTATGTCTAATAACTCAAAACTAAACAAAAATTTCGCCGTAATTTGCAAATAGAACGAAGAATAATTCAAGTACCTTTAAGAGAAGGGGTTTTGAGCGAAGGCGTAGAAAGAATGGGCAATGGAGGAGAGCTAGGGTTTGAGGCATTATCAAGATTCGTGGGAACGTTGGTCGCAGATGTGAGTTTGGGGGAAGGTTTATTGAATGCAGAAGAAGATGGGTTGGGTTTGTTAGGTTTTAGGGGAACAGAGGAAGAGTAAGTGTTGGTGCAATCGGAAAGAGGGTTTCTGCGTGTGAGCACTCGTCTTCGGCCAGCTTCCATTGTTAGTTGTGGGTATGGGTATGAGTTCCCATTGCAAATGCAGTACAAGTTGAATGTATAGGTTATTATGGTGATGATGATGATGTTGAAGAAGAAGAAGAAGAGGAGTGTGTGGAACTGGAACTGAAACTGAAAGTGCAAGATTGATGAACAAGCTTCTTTATCAATGTTTGTTCTCTCCTTTTCTCAACAAGCGGGAATTTTCGGTTTTTTTTTGGGGGGGATGAAGATAAAGCCATTTTATGTGTTTAGGCCCGTATTCACAAATGGGCCTCACCAAATCCAACACAAGGCTTGGGTTGGGCTTACTCTTCATTTTCATGATTAAATACGTTTTATTTAATGTTTTTTTGTATTTAAGAGGATTCATTTTCATTATATATATTATCGAAATTAAACAAAATTTCACTAATAAAATTGTCCCAATTAGGAAATCGGTTTTGGGGTTCAAGTTTCAACGTCATCTTACTCGGGTACAAAGAAAAATTAAGTAGAACTACCAAAAATCAACAAAATTATGATCAGTATCATAATTATTAGTATCGTACGATACACGATACGATTTATATGACATGATATGATTCACGAGTCCAGTAATACATAGTGTGGGATATATCAGAAAAAAATTTGTACTTCGTACAATACGATACATGTATTATGCGATAGGAAAATTAAATCAAAATTTATAATTTTTATTTTTTAATATAAAAAAGGAATTAATATTTAATTTGTGATTTAAATTAAAAAAAATCTAAAAAATTATTATTAATAAGAAAAAGAAAATAAAGATTTGATTTATGATTTAATCTCAAAGATCAATCTAAAAATTCTGTATTAATAAAGAAAATATTTAAATAAATGTTCTAAATCTCTTCAATGTCTAAGGAAGAAAGATTTTATTTTTGAAAACTATTCAGAGACTATAAACTTCCAACCAATTAAGCTAACAAGAATGATAAGGGAATAGGACCTTAGATTATTGAACAAAAAATGAAATATGGATCAAATGACTACTTTAATGAAGAGGATGAAGGATAAATTATGTCATTGAATCATTGATAAATATTGATAGTGATAGTAGTGATAATATTAGTTTTTTTTATGAGTATGAGAATAATTCGTTTGCACTTTATTTACTTATGTATTTTATTTATTGAATCCTTTTGGGAATTTTGATTTATATGATATTAATTATATTATATATTTTTAAAGTATGTTTTATTATATTTCTATATCTTACGATTCGATACATTCATGATACATGAAACAAAAAAAGTCAAATGATACATGTTATGTATTGCATTCAACAACCTTGAATCTTGACCACTATTATGCAAAAAAAATTAAAAAAATATAGGGATTGTTAAAATAATATTAAAAACCAAATTGTTAAATAAGTGTAACTTATTTTTTTTTTGGTGAGCAATAAGTGAAACTTATTAAAAACAAAACTACCTTACATTTTATATTTTAACAAAGTATATTTTAAAAGAGTAGCACAGTTTTTTATGTAAAACAAGAGCATTCATAATTAAAAATTTTAGGCCGAATAACTTAATATATTTAATCTAAAAATGCAACTTTCATATCTTAAAAGAGAAATGTTTATCTCAAGTTACATAAAAAAATTCATCTCATGTCGCAGACACATCGCAATTCGAGCCAGCATTTCTTTTTTTTTTTCTTTTCTTTTAACCGTGAGACCCATCCAATTATGTCTCTACATGAGATAATACTATCTCATGTAGTATGAGAAAAGCATTGCCCATCTTAAAATAAGTAATATATATATGATACATAATGATATCATAATATCCTAAGAATATTTAATTTTAAAATTCGAATAGTACAATAAAAATTTTAGAAAATTAAACCTTGAGAAATTTAAAATAAAAACTTATGGACATCGAAAAATCACCATTAAATCCAAAATACAAATTTGAATAGGACTACAGAAACAATTTTAACAAAAAAATTGTTAAATCTCACTGGATATAAGTGGCGGAACGAGGGGAGTAGATTTTCTCATGTGCTAATTAACGGCAATCATACATGGGTGAGTTAATGGTGATAAAAGAGGAGAGAGAAAAAAATATAAAGATAGAAAGTTACACAATCATCACCGTTGATTTAATTATTAATGGTTAAGATCTTCTTCCACATGACGTGATCATGTTAAATTACACATGAGAGGATCTATTTCCCGGGACGAGGGGATGAAAATAAAAATATCATATCATAAATAAAAATACTTAAAATACAATATGGACCTATCATTCAAAAAATTAAAAGAAATCTATAACAGACCTAAGCATCAATTAAGCACTCTTTCCGATAATAATCATCTAAAATCATGAATTATTTTATGACCAGTAAAATGCCCAAGCACCTACTGTATTTCTTTGTTGACATGGATGTTGTCACAGCAATGAAACATTCAAGCTGATAATAGACATTATAAATAAGAGGGGGGATATTTTGACTACCAAAAGTGTCCACTACCACCTTACTACCTATTAAATCACCATTGGATCAAAGAGAGAGAATATTAATCCAATGGTGATTAAATAGGTAGTAAAATGGTAGTGAAAACTTTTGATAGTCAAAATATCTTCCCTGTACAAATAATAGTTATCATGCTTTAACAAACTGGTATTTTATAAGTATGAAGGTCAGGTCCATCAAGGCAACAATAGAAAAACATTTAACTATGCAATTCTAGCTATAAAGTTTCAATTAATCCAGCAGACATTTTTTTTATGAAATAAACAAACATTTAATCAGATCAAAATCCACACCCTTGCTCTTTCTTATCTCTAATACATCCGGATCATTCATAGGAATAGAACTGTGAAAATTCTTTGCTGATCCTTGTTTCAACTCATGAGTTAAATGCATTTCTCGCTTGTCCTCATAAAGCATCCAAAACGCACAATTATACAAGTCCAATGCCTTGGAAAGCTCAACAAGGGTAGGGTGGTATACAATATGGTGTGCTTGTCCAGATACTTCCTAATCTCGCGGGTAAGCATCCTAACAATAACATCCAATCATTCCGCAGAGGACTATGAAGGCAATAAACTGGAGGAAGACCAATTTGAATGGAACATTGAAGCAGCTAACGAAGTAAAGGAGTTCAATGGGTATGGGAAAATATGCAATGGCAATGAAAAAGTCGCTGACTTTTTGGCTATCGAGTAGGGGTGTTCATCAACCGATCCAAACCGATTCAAACCGCAATAACCGAACCGAAAAACCGATAACCGAATAAACCGAAAACCGAAAAAAAACCGCAAATTTTAATTGGATTGGATCGGTTTTTGGATGGCTTGATAAAAACCGATCCAATCCAAACCGATCCAATATATTAATTCCCTTCTACCTACTTGGGTTTTTTCTCAATCATAGCCCAAAAATTTCTAAACCTAAGACTCATTAACCCATCAACTAAACTCAAGAAAAAATCTAGTCACGTCTCATCAATTTTTTTTTTATCTTTGTAGAGCTTCATATCTCATTACCAAAAAAAATTATATTATAGTTTACTAATGCTTTTGTATTTCAAAAAAAAAAAAAAAATTACAAAGCCAATATATACAAAAGATTCTATTTGCAAAATAATCATGAAATAAATTTAAGATTTTCAAAAAACCGAAAACCGATCCGATCCAAACCGAAAAAAATTGGATTGGATCGGATCGGATTTGAAAAAAAATCCAAACCGAATGGATGATGATATGATCAAACCGAAGGGATTGGATCGGATGATTTTTGCTTCCAAAACCGATCCAATTCAGACCGCGAACATCCCTACTATCGAGGATGCTCTGTGATTGAAAGGTTTTGCTTTCACATAAAAGGTTTTCCATAAGAAATTGGGCAAAGTGAAAGATAAGATATCATCCCAGGAAATACGCAAAGCAACACAAAATAAAAAATCATTTTTCTATTACATAACTATTACTATTAGGAAAGATTCTGTATAGAAGGTCAAGGATCAAATACCAAAGGGAGGCCAGACAAACAAACCATACAAGCATTTCGCCCTCTACCATAAAAGAAAACCATAAAATGAAAAAGAGTGAGGATTAGAGTGGTACCTGATGATGGAGATGGAGTGCGAGCAGAGTTAGATGATGGAGAAATGAAGAGTGAGGATTTTACGATGAACCATTGCTTCCTTCTCATCAGTAAACTTTAAAATAAATTTACCCACTCAGTTTGTATTTTTTTTTACCAAAATGTCATTTTATATATTGGAAAAGAGTGTGTATTATTAGATAAAGGAAGATAGAGTGAAAAAAAAAAGTGTAAATTTCACCTCTTTGTGAGAGTGAAATGACACAAGTTATATCATTTTAAAGTAAAAACATTTTCCCCTTTATATATATAACAAAATTCCTTCAAATTTTTTGGGATGGCCGCCACCCCAGCCCCTAATTCTGCATGCAAGATGTGATTTATAAAGGTGCGACATGCTTGAAATGAAAATTTATTTAATGCACCAATAATAAAAGTAATACAAATATCATTAAAACGACATTAATTTTAGATTATCTTTCAAAGAATAAAATATGTACCATAAATAATATTAAAATTATCGCACTTCAGTTAAAATAGGCGCATTTGGATAATAAATGAAATTAGAGCAACATTCTTTCCCACTGATGTATGGGCACGTTTTTGCATAAAAAAATGTATATGTTCCGAGGTGCAATCAATATTTTGAGACACATTAACTATCTTGATAAGCTGTCGTGCTCAGGCTCCAATTCAATAGCTCAACCTTAAAATCCGTCAGACTAACCTATTAATTTTTTTTTATTTTATATTTTTTATACTAACCAATTTTCACTCTTATCATTGCGCCTAGCCCACTCAAGCCATCAAGCAATTGTGCTCTGCCATTCTCTTCGTCGAAGCCATCTCTAAGCATTTCACCTTTCTCTCTTGTTGAAGGTCTCTCCTCATTGGATCCTTTAAGAATGTTGTCGCTCAAAACTGCGACATCTCCGCCAATCAACAACGTCTAATTTACTCAAGGATGATCAAACCCTCCAAAGCTACGATATAAACACTATTATTGATATGTTTTTGCATAATATTAACTCTGATTTGTTTGTAAAGGCGATTTAGCATTTTTCGATTCATTTTTTGCTGGCGCTGTTCTTTGTGGAATTATTAGTGTTGTTGATTGTATATTTTGTTCGAATAAATTTTTGTTGTCTTATTTTTGTTAACAGGCTAAGTTAGGCTTTTATTTTTTTATAAATAAGTCAGATCGCATGCTGATAATTATATTCATAACAAGTTACAAGTTAGACCAGTCTGACATATTTAAACATAGACTTAGCCTTTCAACATCAAAGTCTAACACGGCTCGGCCCGTTAAGACCTCTAGTGCCAAGGTATCTTTGGCAATTCCGCAATTGGGTTGCATTGTTAGACCTCTAGAGATGATTATATATATATATATATATATATATATATATATATATATATATATATATATATATATGTGGAGCATGTTATATTTATAAACTTTTTTGTTTACAAACTACATTAAGTAGGACCGGTCCTACATTAATCGCACAATGTACGACCGGTCTACTTAGTGTAATTGCAAAAAAAAATTGTAAACGGATCCTGTCCCTATATGTATAGTGTATTGTTGAAGGTAATGAGTTTGAGAGAGAAAGATTTAAAGGTGCTTCAAGTATTACACCAAGAGACATTAAGTTTGGAATGTTTAACTTACTATTGGATTATATTATTAATATATCCAACATGTATCACATTTAAGAATGAGAAATAAATTTATTATTTTCAAGAACTACTAATTACACTTAAATTTAATGATTTAGAAAAACTAATCTAGTTATTGTATAAAAACTTTTGACCAGAGTGTCGTAAATTTTAAAATAACTAATATTTTAAGCTAAACGTCAGTAAGGAAAACAGTTGGCTCCTTTGGTTAACAAAATTAAGCACACATTTCTCCGCAGCAAAACAAAGGGAAGCCTCCTGTTTAACACTTCCAGTGTTCCAACAAAACAGAGACAAAACCAATTGGCCCTGTAAGCAAATCCATGGGCAGATCATAGATGCACAAATTTCAACCTCAACCTCACCCATTCAGCTATAAATAAATATCCACCCTTTTCCCTCCCTTAATACTTCATTTCATTTAGTAATTTGTAAAACACAAGAGATCAACAAACATGGAAGCAATTCAGTCGTGGGTTTCAAAGCATAAGCTCGCCACAGTTGGTACGTGTTTTATATACCCAACAAACAACCTTCCCTCTGATGTAACAAATTTTAATGAAATTATTTGGTGTTGAATTTGATTAAAGGGGGACTGTGGGCCTTTGGAATTGGAGAATCACTTGTGGCTTATTCACGCACAAGGTATCCAATGAAGCCAAGTCTTAGGCTTATCCATGCTAGGTACCTATTCTGCAAATGTTTAACTACATATTCTTCCTTCTTTTTTTAATTTAGTTTTCCTATTCCTGTATGAAGTGTTGTAATCATGGTACTTAAAAACTCGTTTTAAAACTACACGCTTACATTTTTATAATTTTTTTGTTTCGCTTTAATGTTTCTACAAATTTTTACATTCACTCTCAAAACTACGCCGTTTTGAGTTGAAAGATTAAAAAATTGTAATGAAAAAGACTATTATAATTCTAAAAAGACATTGATATTCGTTTCAAAATGACTTCGTTTTGAATTCATTGTAGATAACTTATCTATATTGACTGCAGAAAAAATAAACCCATTTTTTACACCAAAACATTTTTATCAATATTTCAAGCATTTTTACTTATTTACGATTTTATATTTTATAATTTTTTATCCCTTTCCATTTTTAGGCAAAAATTCAATTTTAATTATCTTCGTTGTAATGAATTTGTGTGTTGGTTTTCAGAATACAGGCCCAGACGTTAACACTGGCAGTGCTGTCGGGTGCTGCAGCTTATCACTACTATAAGAATCGTGCTGTTCAGCCGAAACCATAGGCCCAGAGTGTGGCCCAGCTCGTAGAATGGGAGCTCCTTAGTCCTTTCTGAAATTAAAAATAAAATAAAATACTGTATAAAAAAAAAAATTGCTGTTAATAGTCATTAAGTTCACTGAGACGAGCAGAAAATGCTCTCTCATCAAGCTATTGTAATTTTGTAATTAATTTAATATTATCACTGAGAAGACATCGAAAGTTAGTGTTATTTCTTTTCTTTTTCTTTTTCTTTTTGGTACATAGTGTTATTTCTTTTTTGTTTTTGGTCAACAAGACCTTGGTATTATTTCTTGAATGTTAAGTGGAATCAGTTGGACCTCTAAAAACTTTTTTCGGGCCTAGGCCCAACACAAGACAAGACAAGTCTTGTACTAACGAGTAATTCGTGGTTTAATGGATGGAAATCAAAGAGTGAAAGACAAAACTTGGTCGTGTTTGTATTTAGGAAAGCAATTAGACTTTCAATCAACTACTACCTCGTTTCCGTGTTATAAATATGAGACTGATTATAGCGGACCAACAAATTGGAACTGGCCCAACGGACACAGAAAAGTGGGAAGGGTCCAGTGGTAAAAGAAGAGTGATGAGGCCTACCCGATCCAAGGGTTATGTGATACGGTGAGTCACACCTTATGGAAGCCCAACTTAATTACCAACTGATTGAATTCAAATCGCTGGGTAATCATAAAATATTACACTGTTGTATCGATCATTTTAATTTTTTGGGTTAGTTGTGCCATAACTATATGAATAATGCTTAATGTACATCATCATTAAATACATTATCTCACATGTGTGAATGTGCAGAGAATGACGTGAAATGATTTATACATAAATATGTTGAAAATCGACAATCACACAAAATTGACAAAACATAAAAGAGAAAAAGAGAAGAGAGATTGATTCACCTAATATAGGCTACGTCCAGCTTGTCTGTACTATATTCACCTCACCGCCACTTATACAAATCACTCGATTTATAAGAAAAATATAAATAAGATTAGAAAATTCTAACAGTAGCTATTCATGGGCCCAAACTACTAAGAGAATTACAATAAATAGAGGCCCATAACAGTATCTAGCCTCTACTAGGGGTGTGCAAAAAAACTGGTTCAATTGTCGTGCCTTTTATCTGACCTTGACCTGACCCATAAATATCTACTTTTTTGAACTAGTTTTAAATACTGATTCACTTTTATTTGGGTCAGTTTTAGACCTTCCTTATTTTAATAATTGACATATTGACGCAAAACTTGACCCATACCCATTATGTGAAAAAAAAGAAAAACACAATTGCAGTTTTCGTTTTTAGGGTTCTCACTTCTCTCTTCTCTATGTGGACATTCTTGCACTCCACCGAAGAAGATCAGCCACCGCAATCACAATTGCAGTTTAAGGTATGCTTCTCGACTTTTCTTGTGCTCAATACCGAGATGATTGATTGATTTAAACTCATATGGTATGATATGCCTAAATACCTTATTGCTGTCATGTTTTGCTATAGTGGTCTTTGTTATTGGCTTTGGATATAACTCTCTGATTCTTCTGACATCGCCTCTTTCATTTTCATAACAAGCATTAGATTTTCGTTCTCTCTATTCCTTCGTTTTTTATTTTATTTTATTGGTTTTTACATCGTAGCTTTTTTTTTCCTCTTGAATTTTGTTGTTCATCTTCTCTCTAATGTAACTCGTAGTATTTGGATTTTAAAATTAAATAACCTTTTTTTGTTAAAAAATTTACATTCCTTTATTTATTCAATAAATATCAAATTTATTATATAATTTATATATTTTAAACAAATAAATAATTAAATTACATGAATTTAAAAATTAAATCAATAACTATACAAAAAAATCAAATTAAAAACATGTGTTGAAATCAAGTCAAAAATGAGTCAGGTCACTTCAGAAACCAAGTCAGGTCAGATCAGACCCAATTCTGAACTAGTTCAAAAAAATTCAAACTAGGTCAGACCTTACTTGGATCAAATTAAACTCAAAATACCTGACCTATAAAAATCAAGTTGGATCGGGTCGGCACAAAAAAATGACCCGATCTGACTCATGCACACCCCTAGCCTCTACGAGCCTGGGGGCGCTGCCCCCCCGGACCCTAGGTGAGCAGAATCTCAGTTGCTTTTCTGCTGACCCCGACAACAAGAGCCCTCATCACCATGCGAAGTATGAGCTATATCCAATAAAATATATGTAGGAAACATTATTTTAACCATATTTTAGCTAGTACTCATCATAAAAAATTTGATGCACGAAAACTTAGTCATGGGCATTTGTCTTGGGTTCATTATCGATGCCATTCTGAATAATCCGTCATTAAGGTAAGAGCCCAACATTTTATACCCGCACACAATGCTGCTAGTAAAACTTAGGGCATGTTTGGTGCATAGTATAAGATAAGGTCTGATGTATAAGACTTGATAGTATAAGGTCTGATTGTATAAGACCTGATTGAATTTTAATACTATCCAGCGTTTGGCACGATATTGTATAAAATAATATATTGTATAAGATAATATCATCTAGTATTTGGTAATGTACTGTATAATACTATATATGATAAAAATAAATATTTTTAATAAAAATATCCTTTAATAAAAAATTTATATAATTCTTCAAAAAATGTCATATTATATTAATTTTTATAAAAATTTATTGATCAGTGTGTCCAAAATATAAATTAATTTTTATAAAAATAAAAATATTCAATATTTTAAAAATTAATATATTGAAAATAAATTTTTATTTTAATAGATTAATATTAAAATAATATATTAATTTTTGAGAATTACATTGGTCAATGATGTTAATACATCAATCTCTTATCATGCCTTATCCCTCACCCTTAAGCCGGATTAAGTTATACATCGTTTTGATGTATTAAGGGATTATGCTGTATAAGCTTATACTATACGATGGTCATACCAAATAACTGAAAATGTCATAACGTATAATATAAGCTTATACTATCATGATACGTCACACCAAACATGCCCTCTTTCAGCGATGATAAAAGATAGTGATTTTTTTTAAAAAGCTAATTCCAAAAGTATATCATCAAGTCATCAACCTTTCCATATAAGTGGTCCATAACACTATTCTCATATAATCTATTGGACGAATTAATTATAGTGTACATGTGGCAATTTAAATACACTTTTCTACTTTTGTAATTACGAATGTACCATATCAAGATCTTAGTTCGTTTACTCATTAACTAGTGTTTCTAATTGATAGATATCTGAGTTTTAAATAAGCGTGTATTGTTTTCAAATAATTTTTTTTAACAAAAAAATGAAGAGTTTTAATTTGACTTACAAAAATTTATTCGTAAAAATTAAATTAATCAAAACAAGCAATAAAAAGTTATTACTATAACAAATGTATAGTTTTGTATTTTTTTTTTTCAGGATATATTATTCTGCTTATCTTTTTTTCTTATATATCTTACTTATTTATCTTTAATATCATTGGATTAGAATATCAACAAAGGAGAGAAAGAATGAAATTCTGATCCAATAATATTAAAAATGAGTAGATAAGATATGAGATCTTTTTATGTTCACCTGATATACCAACATCCCTCCCAAAAACGGATAAAAAGTGAGGACTCAAATGAGAATAGGAAAAAACATTTGGATTCAAATGGAATTTTATTTCCCTTATCTAGGAAAAAGGAGCACTGACTTGTATATTCTCATAGCACCCAAATCTTTTTCGCAAAGTAAATAAGCTAATTTAAAGAAAAAAGGTAGGTAAAATATGTTATCTCTTTTTTTACATCAAATATCTTTTATTTAAAACTCACTCTAGAACATTTAATTCTAATCTTTTTAAGTACAAAATAAGCTAATTTAAATTCGACGCTCTTTCTTAAATATCATTTATCTGGTAAAAATTTTAAATATCAATTTTACGTCATGTATGTATTTTATACACCAAATACATAAGGATTCCATGGAATTGGAATGGTAGCTTTGTTTGGTAGATAAACTTAATTGGTAAAAAAATATTGTCGTTAAAAAAGACAATATATATATATATATATATATATATATATATATATATATATATATATATATATAGGGGCAGGATATTCTTACACCGGTGTAAGAGTTAGAAATCTTACACTCAATCTTGACCATGATCCACTTGTATCCAATGGCTCACATTACTAAAAAATTTGAGCCCTTAGATATATGTAGGATTAACGGACAAGATTAAGAGTGTAACTTACACTGGTGTAAAATGATCCTGACCCATATATATATATATCAGAAAAATATTTCTGCATTTACTCCCAAAATAACGTCGTTTTGGGATTGAAATATTAAAAATTATAATTATAAAGACTACAATAGTCCTGAATAAATTAAAATTACAAAAATATCATGATTTCCGTCCCAAAACGACGTCGTATTGGGCAAACTGCAGAAAAAGCGAACCCTATATATATATATATATATATATATATATATATATATATATATATATATATGGGGATGGTTATACTTACCACCAAGTAAGTTTACCACCCTTACAACCAATCTCCTGACCCTGACCGTTAGATTAGAATTGAATCTAACGGCCCATAATTATCCCTTATAATTCTAATTTTTTTTCTCTCATCCCTCCCTAGGTTTGGAAACTGCTCCTCTCCAAAATTCATCTCTTCATTGTTACAGTTTCTATCAAAATTCAAGGTTTGTCCCAGTTTGTTTCATGAATCCGTTTCTGATGATGGTGGGAGGATATTATGAAATCGCTTTTTTATTATTTGCCATCGATCATCTTCCCATGATTATGGTTGAATTGTTTATAATAAAAAAGTTGCGAATCAGATTTTTTAAGGAATTCACAACTTTTTATTAAGGAGCAATTCCCATCGCTTTTTAAGGAATCAGATTACAATGAATTCCCATCGCTTTTTATTAAAGAATGATTTTTTAATAACGAATAAATTGGTATAAAATAATGGAAGAATTCCCATTCAGCGTATACATAGCAATTCGTAGCATGCATCCATGGCTGTATACGGTGTTTCAAATTCAAAGAGAATAAACCACAAAGCATCATAAAGATTGTGACCGATTTAGTTTACAATCGAAATCAATCGGAGGAAAAACATGAAATGAAAAAATGAGGATGATAAAGAGAGGATGAGAGAGTTGATTCCCAAATCTAGAGTGAAAAGTGTGCAGATCTCAAACCTAGAGAGAGACAGAGAGAGAATGGAAGAAAAAAAAAATTAAGATTATAAGGGATAATTATGGACTGTTAGATTCAATTCTAATCTAACGGTCGGGAGATTGGTTGTGAGGGTGGTAAACTTACCTGGTGGTAAGTATAACCGTCCCCTATATATATATATATATATATATATATATATATATATAGAGGTGGGATCCTTTGACACCAGTGTCAAATTTAAAGTTTGACACCTCATCTGATAGCCATTAGATCAAAAAAATCAATGGTATCACATGCTTACAAATCAGAGTCGTAGATCTTTTTTGATCTAACGGCTATCAGATGAGGTGTCAAACTTTAAATTTGACACTGATGTCAAAGGATCCTACCTCATATATATATATATATATATATATATATATATATATATATATATATATATTCCCAATTATCTTGCCTGTTATCCATATATTCCATTGATATATGCTCATCCGATTTAAGTGGGTTAATTTGTTAACAGAAAAATGGGTTAAATTTAACAAGCCCAATACTTGTAATTTTTCAAATTGAAAACACTAATTATACGATGGGTTTTATAAGAGTTATGTTGTAGTTAAAATGATTGTGTAATGTTATAGAGATTCGTTTTACGTGGCGTAGTTTTTTTTTTTTTTTTGCTTTAAAAAGTGTGGGCCCCATAAAATGTTGTGTGTGTAGGAAATTTTTTTGTGTCATGTTAAATGATGAATGTAAACCCCTTCTATGATAATACTGCTTTTTTTTTTGGTATATCACCCCTAATTATCTCTTGAGGCAAGTCAGTCCCTAATATCTCCACAAGCTTTAACTCTTTAAGTCAACTATATGAATAATCTCAAGTTGGAGTTTACTCGTAGTTAAAGCTCATTGTCCCTAAGAATGTAAATGAATCAGGCTAAGCTAGATTTTAACATAAATAGACTAGGCCTATATAAAATATGTTAAGCCTGATTTGTCTTGTTACACCTAGAGGTGTAATTGTCTAGCTTATCAAGTCTACCAAGTCTTTTTTTTTTTAGTATTAAGTCTCTGTTTATTTTATTTCTTTTGTATGTTTAAGTTTGATGAAAAATTAAAATAATATAAATAGCTAAAGCCACACCATAACCTAAAATATTATCTTATTAAAAAATAACAAGATATTATCTTATTAAAAAAATAAAATATTATTTTATTAAAATTAATAAAAAAATTAGTAGAAAATACATGTCGTACCTGGAGGCTTAGATGTCATACCTTTTGAAATTGGCTTGTGACCTGATCTCTAAAGAGGCCTTGTAATGAGCTCAAATCTATACTATTTTTAAAACAAATCAAGTCAATTCAGATCAAAGACAAGTCGAGTTATAATCCCCCTAACAAGTCACTTGACCCATTTATAATACTAATTGTCTCTCCCTAAAGATATATGTAGTGGGAATCGAATCGAGATTATCTTCCAACCAACAATTATGTTGCCAAGTAAGTTATACCTATACTCTCAAGGTAGCATGAATTGGAGGCTTTTTGACATTTATAACCCTTTATTAATAATTAATTATCAAATTGACCTTCATTATAAACTATTTCAAAAATTTAACCCTTTCAAAAAATATAACACCAATCTGCCCCTGTTTGACCGTTGACCATCGAGTCTACCCGGGTACACTCCTCCCTACCCGGGTATATTTTGAAATTTTTTACCTACCCGGGTAAGGAGGGGTGTACCCGGGTATTGTTCTTGGCACCTAAGAAATTGCTTGAATTATTTACCCGGGTACGGAGGGGTGTACCCGGGTAAATCTCCCCGGGGCTGCATCTGATCTTGGTCACGGCTTATCAGAAACGAGTCAGCTCCCAGATGTTCTATTGCTTCCTCCTTTTTGTTGGGTGATGTACTGATTATTGTGACATTAGCCCCAAAAGCTTTGGCAAACTTAACAGCCATATGGCCAAGTCCACCGAGACCAACCACACCCACATGAAGACGAGTCCAAAATATCTAAGAGGGCTATACACTGAGATCCCAGCACAAAGGAGAGGAGAAGCAGCATCAAGAGGTAAGCCATCAGGAATGCGAACCACAAAGTGCTCGTCTGCAACCATAGAGTCAGAGAAGCCTCCATATGTGGTGGTACCATCAATATATTTGGCACCAAATGCGGCTGTATATTGTGGGCAGTAATTTTCAAGATTGTCAGAACAGTTTTGACATGATCTGCAGGAATCAACCAACCCTCCAACACCAACCTTGTCCCCAACTTTGAACTTTTCTAATTTGCTTCCCACCTTTGTCCCCAACTTTTCAAATTGCTTGAATGATTGTTCTTGGCACCTATGTTGTGGTCAGCGTGTAAATCAAATCAGCCCCAGTGAATTTACCCGGGTACACCCCTTTGTACCTGGGTAAATAATTCAAGCAATTTTTCAGGTGCCAAGAACAATACCCGAGTACACCCTTCCTTACCCGGGTAGGCAAAAAATTTCAAAATATACCCGGGTAGGGAGGGGTGTACCCGGGTAGACTTGGTGGTCAACGGTCAAACATGGACAGATTGGTGTTATGTTTTTTGAGGGGGTTAAATTTTTGAAATAGTTTATAATGAAGGTCAATTTGGTAATTAATTATTAATAAAAGGTTATAAGGATCAAAAAGCCTGAATTGGATGAACTAACAAAATACATCCTTTTTCTTCCTTTTTTATGAAGCAATTGCATCATCGTTTTTAGGTAGTATAAATAGAACCCATAGCATTGCATTGCATGGCATCGTTTTTTACGTCAAAGTCAGTACTTAAGGGCCTAGTTAATTTGTATCATTAGATTACATATGTCTATTGAAGGAAACAGAAGGTCCAATATACTACAAAGTTCCAAAGTTGACCTTAACACGTTCATTTGTTTACCATGCACGGACCCTTTTTTGCTGGAGCAAGGTACAGTACCTTAGCATCCCTGAGGTGATCACGCGCGTGGTTTCAAAATTTGTTATTTAAAGTTTCAAAAAAATAAAATTTGTTGTTTAATTATGCCTAAAATCCTGTTTGAATATATTATTTGTTCTATTCAAGGTAACAAGTGTCAACTTTGATCCAGTGCCTAACATGGAGAATGGAGTTATCTTAAAGTCATTTCATTATACTTTTGACCTTAATATTGTTTCGGAGGAAAGCATAGCAAGAATTTTCTCAATTTATTAGTGATTAATCATTGATTGCATTTCGAATTAACTAATTTAATTTGACCTTAAGATGCACGTTTATATGCGTGTGTGTGTATATATTAGATATGCTGGCTCCATTTATAAATTTGATCAACCATATCATCTACTCTTTTTCTTTCCCTTTAATTACCAATTTCATTAAAAATTGAAGAAGTAGATGATTTGACAGGTATTTTATACGAAGCTTGATTCCTTAATCAACAAATTGCCGGTTAACCAACATGAAAGAAAATGGGAAAAAAAAAAAAATGGAAGACTCAAGATACACATAAATATATATTTATAATCTGACATTTGATTTCTGATTTACTCTCGATCAGCACTTTCGCTCCAGTTCTTTATTGCTTGTCCCACTGCTTGTTTCACAACTTGTGCATCAATAGTCTCACCTTGTTCTTCATTCTACAAAATGCAAGAAAATATTCGTTATTGCGGAACCTCCGAACCTAGCTAGCTTCTGTAATATTAGACAATTAATGAAGACTATTCTGTGTATATTAGGGCTAATTAAGACCATTTAACGCTACAAATGCATGATCACCAATCCACAGCAACTCGGCCTCTTTTCTCACATCCCCCAATGAGGAAATTTTATAAAAGGACAACACGTGTGACATCTAAAAGTCTGGATAAAAAACTGAAAATGATAGAGATGAATTGAATGATACGCATATTGAACTAATTAATAAGGGGAAAAACAATTATCTTTTTAAAGGATAGAAGCTTGTATTTTTTTAGGTGATTTACATAGAGTCTGATTGGTAAGACTTTGTGTAAATTTGAAAAGTTATTTTTTTTTCTCTCCTCATTCGTATCAATGACATGTAAAGTGAAAAAAAAAACTTTTCAAATTTACGCAAAGTCTTACTAATCACACACTTTGTGTAAGTCACTAAAAAAACACAATTTGTATCCTTTTAAAGGACATCCACTGAACCCATTAATAAGCAATATTGGTAATAAATTTTTGTTTACTATATATATCTTACTTCTCCTCCAACTGCTTGAAATCGAAAATTGTCTGTACAAGAAACCCTAGCTTCCAGCACTATAAGTCCCATCTCTTCAAAGACCTCCAATATGGAAACAAGCAGACCTGGGCACCCTTTTGCTGAAAAAACATTTATAAGAAATCCCTTTTCTAGGGTTTCTACTGAAACCTGCACAAGTCCATCCAGAAAATGCAACTAGCTCCAATCAATTTTTATTTATTGACAAGGTCTTTGGAACTTTATCAACATATATATTGGAGTTGTAGAATATAGACGATGCTATTAAGAAAATACCATCGGCAAGGGATTGCGGTCGCTTGAAGTTTCAGGCGCAGAGGCTATTTCTTGATTCAGTCTTTCTACTTTTTGCTTTAGCTTTTCGATATACTTTGATGCATCGATTATGATCGAGCTTTTGTTTAGCTGTTATAAAAAATGCATAAAAGCACAAGAATGATTAGATAATTTATCGTCTCAAATGAGCTCGGTTGGTTAACAAGACAAATGATATTAAATTAAGGATATTTGTATATCATTATTTTCAATGTTAAACTTTTTATGATGATATAATTAATATTCATTATCATAAATCAACTTATTTATTTATGCTTTAGTTTTCTATCCACATATATGGGAATGGGAGCATAGAAGACAATCGAAGATGCAGAAAGAAAGAACATGTATTTGGTGAATAAGGAAGAAGGAACACAGAGCTGTGAAAAATAAAATAAAATAGCAGATAAGAACCATGATTACTTTAACAAAAATCGAATCAAATTCGGAGGAGAAATATATAGCAGAGGGAAGGATAACAATTAACACTGCCTAACTGAACATTCTATTAGGGAATATATATATATATATATAGGCTAATTTCCTTGAGAATATTCATAGAGAAATCCAATGAAAAGAGAGATATCAGAAAATAATGCAGGGAATTACAGCATGAGAGTTAGTAATAGAACGAAGAAGTTGCAGCTTCTCATGCAGTGCTGCTCTCTTTTGCTCTATAGAAACCATTTTGCGTTCTCTCTTTTTCTCTCTCCCCTTTTTTGATCGTTCTGGCTTTCTTTTTCTCTGATGGTTTTCTTTTGCTATCAATTTTGCAGATTTCTGTGGTCATTTAAAAGAAGGGATGAGCTCTCAAATCTATATGACCTCACGTGTTTTCTTCCCACATGACTGTCTTAGTTTCTTCATAAAGAAATACTATATAGATTTTGGTTGAACTTACAAAAGTACCCTTCTCAAATCAATTTCTGTCTCGATTATTGAATTAGGTCTCCTTCTCTTTTTGTAAAAAAATAAAATAAAATTAGAGTGAAAGAAGACTATTCCTATTGTAATGTGTTAAGGCAAAAATTATTAATTTTAATGAAGAATATATGTGCAATTACAAATTGTTTATCTGTAAAAGATTTTTAAATTCGAATCCAATATTTATGTAATAATTGAATTCCTAAATTTGTTTAATTTATAGGATTAAGGGTATATTTTCTAATTTACTTACATAGACATTGGTCACAATATAAGAGCCATTAGTTAATGAGTTTTTAAACTAGAGAAATTAATAGGTAGCCATGCAGAGGTTATATTGGGAAAAATGGAATGTAAGTTTTGAGTGGAAGGAAATGGGAGAAGAGGAATCATAAACTCGTGATAGATAAAATGGTCATGAAAAGAAGTGAAGGAGAAGCAACAAAAGGATGTTTAGTTGTGATTTTGGAATGCTTCCAAACACCCCTCACGGGGGCTTTAGGCTCTCCTCCACTCTTGATCCTTTCTTGCACCAGCAATCAAACTTTTGTCCTCTTTCTTCTTCTCTCTCCACACGTGCCATCATACCCTTCTCATCGTATCAGACACCCTACCTGTTTTTCATTTTTCTTTCATACTTGAAATGAAATTAAAATGTTACGATTGATTTAACTTTCTTTAATTTCGTGCATATGTTATGATTAACATGCTTGCTAGTTGTAGATACTATGCAGTTCCAAAAAAAAAGATTTGCGTGCTTTAGCTAGGAACCACATTAGTTTTCATAATTAATTATCTGTTATCTTGCTTCTAGAGATATATCGCAAGCTGTATATAATTTGATATGGATGTTCACATGATGATATCAATTCCTGTATATAAATTAATTTGTGATATTAAAAATCACTGATATACTGAAGCGACTGCATCCACGTTTTCCTGGTGGTTGTTGTTGTTATTAGCTTGTTCATTAAAGAAAACCCCAACAAATCATAATATATTATATTCTTGAATTATTTATTTCGCCCAAAAAGGCATCTGATCAATAGTTCTTTTGTTTTGTGATTTCTATTTTCAAAACAGTCAATAATTCATGGGCTGAAAAAATACGATAAAGATATAAAACATATTGTGTTTACTTATTTAACCAAGCAACTTAAATTGGCTAAATATATATGTGGAACAAGTTCCATGAAATTAAGGGAAATAAAGTTGACCCTTATTGAACCCAAGTCATGTGACTAAATGATTTAAGCAATTGAAAAATTTACAATATTAAGCGATTGAAAACACCAAATACTGAGATCAATTGATAATGAATGAATTTAACTTAACCAGTAAAATCTAATTCAAGTTCTTATAACTGTATTAAAAACTTGATAGAAAGTCTTACTGCCCTAATAATCGTGCCGGATTACTCAATGAACTGGTGAGAAATCTCAATATATATATATATATATATATATATGGGTTTTATAAGAGTTATGTTGTAGGAAAAGTGATTGTGTTATGTTATAGAGATTCGTTTAGCGTGCCGAAGTTTTTTTTTTTTTTTTTGCTGCGGGCCCCACAAAATGTTGTGTGTGTAGGAAACTTTTTGTGGTCATGTTAAATGATAGATGATAAACCCTATATATATATATATATATATATATATATATATATATATATATATATATATATATATATGAGGCAGGATTCTTTGACACCGGTGTCAAAGAAAAAGTTTGACACCTCATCTGAGAACCGTTAGATTAAAAAAAATCAATGGTGTCACATGTTTACAAATCAGAATCGTTGATTTTTTTTAATCTAACGGTTCTCAGATGAGGTGTCAAACTTTTTTTTTGACACCGGTGTCAAAGGATCCTGCCTCTATATATATATATATATATATATATATATATATAGAGGCAGGATCCTTTGACACCGGTGTCAAATTTGAAGTTTGACACCTCATCTGAGAGTCGTTAGATCAAAAAAGATCAATGGGGTCACATGCTTACAAATCAGAGTCGTTGATCTTTTTGATCTAACGGCTCTCAGATGAGGTGTCAAATTTCAAATTTGACACCGTTGCCAAAGGATCATGCCTTATATATATATATATATATATATATATATATATATATATATATATATAAGAGTTTGATATGGAAATATATATATTTTTGGAATAGATAGTTTTTTTTTTTGAGATATTTCAATCGATTTATCGCTTCGCGACTAGCCTGATTTGGGACGGGTCCCGGGATTAAGGCTTTAAACCCCTCCCAAAGACGGTATTGGAGAGGATTAAATACATGATCTCACTCCCACCTGTTCAATTTCCTGGCGCCAACTGAATTACCATCATTTGGTTTTGAAATAGATAGTTTCAATACTTTAAATGAGATTAGTCTCGCATAAAAAAATATATTGGATATCCAAATAAGAGAGGGGGGGGGGGGACTTAAACTTTATTCTATATAAATTAGTTTCCTTTAGCCGTCACAATACCTAAATAAGCACCTTTTTTAAACTTTGAAGTTCATTATTCTTTATGGCGTTTCCATGCCTCCAAGTTCAAAGGTTTTGTTTGTTGAAAATCAAAATATATTTGTAACTCTCTATGGTGTTGGTAGGAATAGAAAAAAAAGGAGTCCAGGTATTTCAATGCTAGTGCTTTGATAAATGGTCAATTTTTGTACATGTCATTTTAATTTACTTCTGCGCTCCAAACATAAAATAACAACAACATAGGAATTTAAGATCAAGTAATTCTTTGACACATCAATATTACCCTTAATCACTTTGTATGTATAATGAGCGTATACAGAGAGATAAGCCGTCTATTGCACGTTGGATCGATATACATACATATTCAGGTGGATACATATCCATAACATGACACTGATCATATCATATCATATATGTATTTAGAGCTAGCTGTTGCTTCAGCCTTCCAGTATTGTCACCATTCCACAAGGACAAATCACGTACCCACCTCAATTCACATGCGTGCCCATTAATCATCACAACAAAACAATATACACCATACACATATCCTGCTCCTACCTTGTCTCTTGCCTTTCATAAAAGTATTTGTTGCTCTGAACTCTCCTAGAGTCTTTTAGATTCCATTAATGCTCAGCTAGTTTTCCCCTGTGACCCCCAACTTTTCCTCCACAGCCTCGAGCACAATGCTTTCTTGGAGTCTTATATCTGGACCATACTCCTTATAGGTTGGTTTATTGTATACTTGATATATCTATCTATCTGGATTCCTGTACCTTTTATTATTTTATTATTTACATTAATATTTTTCTCCCAGAAATGATTCATGAATTAAAGGCCACAATCTCAATTTTAAAATAACAAATAACAAAGCCATGAGAGAAGTCTCGTAGAAAAAATTATTTTTCGAACCTACATAACATCAAACTTTTAAGATTATTGATTCAGAATGAATATTTTAATAACTATAAATAGATGGATATTTCATCATTAAGGTTTAAATTTTATTTGAATCCGGTGCGTGGAATTTATGGGAAAAAAAAAGATAGATTATCCCAGGAATTTGTTTCTTGACAAGGCACATAAAACAACCAAGACAATTTGTGATTTTAGGATGCTAATAATTTTCAATAATCAGTGATTCATATTTAATTATATATATCATTTATTAAAATACAAAACATTATATTTTTATTTTAAGTGAATAAGATATGTAGCTAAATATATCCGCCTCATAAAAACATTAGGTTAACAAAAGTAAATGCTAATTAATTCAAATGTTGAATTTTAAGTAAAAGAAAAAAAGAAAAAAGAAAAGAAAACAAAGGTCAATGTGTACATTGATTAATATTAAAAAATGACAACAACAAACAACACTTAAAGCCTGCTTGACACATTGTTAAGAACCTTGAGATACACCACCCCAAAAGCTAGCTCAAAGGGTGAGAGTGCCCAAGACCTTATAAAGGCCATATTAGTTGCCCATCCAATCAATGTGAGACTATATATCTCAACACGTCCCCTCACGCAAGAGCCCTTTAGGCTATAAGCGTGAAATTGCACAGGCCCAATTTTTGGTTTACCTTTTTGTGCTTTTTATTTTAATTCCACTTTTAAAGTGGGGGACGGTGAGGCTCTGATACCATGTTAAGAACCTTGGGATACACCACCCCAAAAGCTAGCTCAAAGGGTGAGAGTGCCCAAGACCTTATAAAGGTCATATTAGTTGCCCATCCAATCAATGTGGGACTATATATCTCAACACACATTTTTTTTAAGATAAAAGTTATTTTTAAATTAAAATTAATAAAAAAAGTTTAAGCAATAAAGGTAAAAGTTGTTTAATAATCATATAAAATTATTTTTAGGATTTTGAACGGAGGGGGATTTCTTTTTCTGCTTTCCTATGATATGGATTTGGTTGATTCTCCTGTGGTATATCGACTGCCTTTGTTCGGCTGAGACTTTCGCGTCTGCGGATTCTCTAAGTAGTAGAATGATTTATTATAAAAACTCCAAATATTGATATGCATATTTAGGAAGATTATACTTATAATATTTTTTTTATAACCTGTTACAACCATATTTTTATACTGTTGATTTCTGCTAATCAACGGTTATCATTTATTGTGAATTAATAATTAATTAAAGAGTTTAATTTGCAAAAATCATAACCGTTGATTGGCGAAAATCAACGGTGTTAAGATACGATTGTAAAAGGTTGTAAAAAAAAATTATAAGTATAACTTTCCTCATTAAAAAAAGCT